CCCTGGGAGACCTCTCATTCTGTTCCACCCCTCCTCACCCTGCCCCTTTCTCTTTTGCAATCTCTGCCTGGTGACAGGCACTTTGGTAGCTTTTCACATATCCCAGAGTCTGCAAATTATATTTTCCTCTCATTTCACACACAAAAACAATCTTGCCTGGCCCCCACATTTTTCTTGTTGCTTTTGAATAATTTCCAGGAAAAGAAGAAGGAAATGCTAATTCCCACAGCTACTATATTTATCTATTTAGGTACTACAGATTGAACCCAGGGGTGTTTAACCACAAAGCCACATCCCTAGCTTTTTTTTTAAATATATTTTATTTAGACCCAGGGTCTTGCTGAGTTGCTTAGGACCTCACTAAGTTGCTGAGGTTGGCTTTGAACCTTCCATCCCCCTGATGCAGCCTTCCGAGTTACTAGGATTACAAGTAAGCAGCACCATGCTCCACCATGCCCAGCTCTACAATTACTTCAGTACCACAAAGTCACTGCCACATGTTTTAGAATGTTTGTAAATGGGCCATCACCAATCACCTTGTGATTGACATTTAGGTTGTTCCCAGTATTTCTCTATTGCAAGCAATGCAGAGTGAGATCCCTCTGCATAAATCCTTCTGAAGCACTCAGATACTTCTGCAGGATGATTTTCTACAAGTGGAATTTGGGGGTCATGGGAAATGGCCAATTAAAGACTTTTTTCAGTGCCCCTGGCTTTAAGTTTATTCAGCACAAAATAATCTCCTCCAACTTTACTGAAGTGGATAACCATGTCTACAACCAAATCCACCTCTGAACAGGAACTCAGCTGCTACCCTAGGCCCAGCTTCAGCTTTCTTTTTTTTTTTTTTTTTTGGAGGGGTACCAGGGATTGAATTCAGGGGCACTCATGTACTGACCTATCTGGTATTTTATTTAGAGACAGGATCTCACTAAATTGCTTAGTACCTTGATTTTTGCTGTGGCTGGATTTGAACTCACGATCCTCCTGTCTCAACCTCCAGAGCCACTGGGATTACAGGTGTGCACTACTGGGACAGCTGAAGCTTCAGGTTTCTTTCTTTCTTTTTTTTTTCCAGCACACAAGCAGCCTTAATTCTTCCCCCTCCACACACCTGTGAGCTTCTGCCACCCAGGAATCCACAGTCCACCCTCCCAGTCACAGAGGGAGGCTGAGTGACAGCAATTTCCCCCTACCCCCCAAACTAAGAGAATTGAGGCTAATTTAAGAAACCTCATGGATACAGCCCATTCACCAATTCCAGAAGGCCCAGACGTCCCTGTCAGGAGTTTCCAGTTTGGACAGGAGCCATGCTGCAGCTAAAGGACTGCCTGCTACAGAAAGTCCCTCCCTTAATCAGTGTCCACTTGAGACCAGAGGGTCTCCACCCATGAACGTGCACTTCTGGTCTCCTGATTATCAGACAGGTAACATAACAACTCGTTTTCTTCCAAACCCAAGCATCCCAAATCATCAAACCCAGACCGCAGTGTGGTATTTCCCTCAGGGTCTCTCCTGGACAGGGACAGTTGCTGGGGGAAGTGGCGACTGCTTGCTCCTCCAGGGCGGACAAGGAATGCTCAGCTGCCCTGTCAAGGTGTGGCTGGCCACCCTCCTGTGTCCAGGAGCCTCAGGCCAGACCCCTGTCCCACAGCAGAGCTCCCTGCTCAAGCAGAAAACATGAAGTCAAACAAAAAAGTAGCTCTGGCCCCGTGCCCAGCTGGTCACGGGTGGCCGCCGGCTCCGTGTCATTTCCCTGTGAGTTCCAGCACCTTCTTCACCATGGCCCCCATCCCGTCGTGGATGTGGTGGAGGGCGGTCTCACACATGAAGGCTGGGGTTGTGACCACCTTGTTTTTCTGGTCCACGTGAGCTTCAGTCACACCCTTCACACAGTGCTTGGCGCCCAGGGCCTTGATGGCCTCGACAGTCCCTGCGTAAGGCCATTTGCCACCCTCTTCCTGCTCATGGCCCACGGTGACTTCAACACCTCTGAGCACTTTGGCTGCAAGGACAGGCGCGATACAGCGCAGGCCAATGGGCTTCCCAGCTCGGTGGAACTCCTTCAGGACCCGCTCCACATCCTGGTTGACTCTGCAGTCTTTCCAGTCGACAGCGAATGTGCTCAGATTTTTGGCAGCTCCAATGCCTCCAGGGAAGATGGCAGCATCGTGGTTGGCTGCACTGAGCTGAGCCAGGTCAGAGATTTTGCCTCCAGCGATCTGTCAAGACGTTCCTGCTTTCACTCTCAGAAGGCTGCCCCTTGGTGTGATCGACCACGTGCATCTGACGGACATCAGGGGCAAAGATCTGGACCTCAGCCCCGCCACGGCTCAGGTGCACCAGGATCGCTGAGGCCTCGTGCATCTCCGACCTGGCATAGTCTCTGCAGCCCGACAGCACCAGCGCGACCCCGGCCCTGAGGCGCGTCGCCCAGCCGTGGAGGGCCGCGCGCGGGGAGGGGGCCAGCCCACAGAGAGACAGAGGCCTCAGGAGCTCGGGGAGGCACAAACGCGGAGTCGACCACCAGCCTCGGGGCCACTAGGGCCCTCACGGCCGCCATTACAGCGCAGAGACTTCAGGGTCGGCGGGTCACGCGTGGCCCAGCCCTGCGCAGTAGCTGGAGCTGCGCAGCTGCCGCTTCAGGTTTCTTGTCTGCACCAGAGGACATGGCACTCTTTGGGAGTCTCTGCTGAATTCCCATCTTATGGGTTCTTACAGGTAGGATCTCAGGGGCAGGCAGTGGAGATCATCATGGACATACATGATACCTCTCTGGTAAACTACCAGTAGAAAGGTCTCCAGCAAACTGTTCCTTAAGTAGCCTTGAGACCAGATAGACTGTATGGTCTTCATGAATGAAGGCTAGGCACATTCCTGTCTGATAGCTCCAGGTGCATCAGAACATGGACATCCTTTTTGGCTACCATCACCCGCTCCTTAAAAAGGGGTTCAGAAATGGTGGCTCAGTTCTTCTTGGGCATCAACATCATGGTGGCTGCAAGATATGGGGAAGTGTTTCCATTTGGCCAAAGCTGAAGCCACTGTAGTAAATTCACTCGGCTACTACTACCCCATGAAATTGTTTGGTGACATGTTGCTTGAAAGAAGCAGTTGAGGCTTAAATGGAACAAATATGTAATCAGAGAGACTTTTCCATTCAAATTCTCAGATCTCTAAAAGCAAGGTAACTGCCTGGCATAGGGGGCATACATTTGTAATCTTAGTGACTTGGGAGGATAAGGCAGGAGGATCACATGTTCAAATCCAGCCATAGCAACTTAGCAAGGCACTGAGCAACTTAGCGAGACCCTGTCTCAAGATAAAAATAAAAAAAGAACTGGGGGACTGGGGTTGTGGCTCAGTGATAGAGCACTTGCCTAGCATGTGCAAGGCTCTGGGTTTAATCTTCAATACAACATAAAAATAAATAAATAATGTGCCCAACTACAACTAAAAAATAAATATTAAGAGAGAGAGAGAGAGAGAGAGAGAGAGAGAGAGAGAGAATGAGAACCGGGGATGTGTCTCAGTGGTTAAATGCCCCTGGGTTCCACCCCTGGTATCAAAAAAACAAAAAAAACAAAAACAAAACCCTAGGTAACTAGGAAGATGAGGTGGAAGTGGGGCATGGAGCCAGGGTATGAATACCAGGTCTACCACCCAGTTGTATGAATTGGGGCAATTAAATAATGACTCTGTGCAGGGTGTGGTGGCGCATACCTGTAATTGCAGCAGCTTAGGAGGCTGAGGCAGGGGGATTGTGGATTCAAATCCGCCCTCAGCAACTTAGCAGGGCACTCAACAACACAGTGGGAACCTATCTCTAAATAAAACACAAAATAGAGCTGGGGGAGCTAAGGTTGTGGCTCAGTGGTAAAGCGCTTGCCTAGTCTGTGTAAGGCCCTGGGTTTGATCCTCAGCACCACATAAAGATAAATAAATAAAGGTATCGTACCTATCTACAACTGCAAAACAAGAAAAAAAATTCTTTTTAAAGGCTGGGGTTGTAGCCCAGTGTTTAAGTGCCCCTGAGTTCAATCCCTTGTACCAAAAATTAAAAATTAAAACAATTTTTAAAATGTAATATCTCTGAGCCTTTTCCTTCCTCCTCATCTATAAAATAAGACTAGTCGTAGTAACTGTTTCACAACATTTTTCTGAGGACTAAATAAGAAATGAAGTCAGAGAGTTCTGTGTATGTATTAATATAACACAAGAGATCCCCTTATCCCCTAAATTTTTATGAAATCAGAGTAGGTGCAGAAAAGAATGGATGTCATCAGCTCTTTAGAAGAGATTTTTCCGTTCTCTACAAAGGCACATTGCTAGGAACAGAAATGGTAGGAGAGTAGAAAGAGGGGTAACCAGGGAAAGGCGGTGTTTCCCAAAGGGCAAAGGTCACAGCAAGACATAGGAAAATTTTGTGATTCTGAGAAAAGGCAAAGACGAACTGTTGGTGGATACTAGATAGCTTAGAATCCAGTTTATGGATATATTATGGGATCCCTGCTCTATTTATACGAACAATATGATCAATAGACATATCCCAAGGTTGATGGATCATTCCTTGTCCCCTTGGGCATCAGGCAGATATGTAAAAGTTGTCTTTCTTCGGCCTCAGGGCCCCATGTAGGGTTGAACAGGATGTCTGTGTAAATGCTAAGCCCTGCACTGGGCTGTCAAAGCCTGTACAACTGTATATGGCAGCCCCATGTGGCACCACGCTCATGAATGTCTGCTTTGCATGTGTATCCTCTGTCCCCAGGTGGCTTCATATGGACCATAAGGTCCCCAAGTGTTTTTTATAATGGATTACAAGGTTTTTATCCTCCCACAGTTCCAGCACTCAACTGATATTCTCCCTACGCAGCTCTGAGGGGACAGGCAGTTCTCCTCTCCAGGAGAAGAAAGCAGCCTACTTTGGGTTCCCGTCACCTGCCTTCCAGGCACCACACATCCCTCTGCCTTCCTTCCCCTTGAGACCAGTTCAACTCTAGCACCAGGAAATCATTAATATGAGCGTCTCTAAGAGGGAAAGAGGCTTCAAGAGCATGACAGCCTTGGCCTCAGTATACATTCTGAGCACTGCACAACTTCAAGCAGCCTCCTCGTGGACGTGATGCAGTAGATATGAAACCTGTCCCACCCCTTCAGCAAGGACAGAAGGAAGATGTGAGGCTCAGGACATTCGTGCCTGCCTCTCTCTGCCGCTGTGTGCTGAGACGCAGACCCAGTGCAAAGGCAGAGCCTCAGGAAATCCGAAAGAAAAGGCTGAGTACTCTTGCTTTTTTCTCAGCAAGTTTCCCAAGCAATGGGGCTCCTCAGACACAGACTAGTCTCTGAAGCCAGGGAGCTTTCCCTTTGGGGAAAGAGCCTCCAAGCTTCCAAGAGCCAGCGCCATCCGAAGCAGGTTCTTTCCTCCAGAAGTAAGCATTGCATCGCAGGGGATGCCAACGTGCCCCTTGGGACCCACAAGTCCAAGTTTGAGGATAAGACACAGGCAAGAAGGACACGATATTCTTGTCTGCCAAGAGGAGGGTCGTGGTTACATCCTGTCCTGGAGGCCAGTAATACCACCTGCCCCTATCCTGTCCTACAGCCCCTTAGGCTATACCATCTCCATCCAGGAACCAAAGGCAACACAACAAATGGCAACCTGCTGGGCATGGGGAGGGTACCTTCCCCAATCGATTAAGCTGGAACCAGGAGCACAGGGAAGGCAAAGGGCTAGGCTTGGGTGGGCGCTGGTCCGGGACTGGTCCCCAGGGACAGAATAGTAGCAAGCCATGCTCAGTGGAGGGCACAGGAGAGGAAAAAAGCCCTCCATCCAGCAGCGGCCAAGTGGTAAGGGAGGTGAGTGAGTGGCACCCAGAAAGCTGCAGAGATCAGAGCACTCGGGACAGTAGGGAAAGCCAGGCAGAAAAGGCTGGGCTCGCTTCCCTTTAAGGCCACTACCAGGAAACAGGTCCACTAGTTGCATCATCTTTCTATTTGCCCAGAGCTATATTTTGTTCAGAAACTCTGTCCTGAGAAGGGATTAAAGAAGGCATCCAACAAGGACTGAACAAGGAAGGGAGGCATCAGTGGAACAAGGGTGGTTTTCCGCTGCCTCCCAGAAGGATGGAGGTGCACAATGTGTCTGTTCCCTTCAACTTCTCCCTGCCGCCCAACTTTGGCAAGCGCCCCACGGACCTGGCACTGAGCATCATCCTGGTGCTCATGCTGCTTGTCATCATGCTCTCTCTGGGCTGCACCATGGAGTTCAGCAAGATCAAGGCTCACTTGTTGAAGCCTAAGGGGCTGGCCATCGCCATGGTGGCCCAGTATGGCATCATGCCCCTCACTGCTTTTGTGCTGGGGAAGGTCTTCCAGTTGAACAACATTGAGGCACTGGCAATCCTGATTTGTGGCTGCTCACCTGGAGGGAACCTGTCCAACATCTTCAGTCTGGCTGTGAAGGGGGACATGAACCTCAGGTAGGACTAGGGCTAAAGTGGGAGTATCATGGAACGGGGCCACTGTAGGAATGTCACAATCAAGGGGAAGAGCTGGGTAAAGCCAGGAAAGGGAGGGAGTGGGGGCTGTGGATGTTGGGGGGAGGGTCATGGCATTTATTGCCAAGAGCTTATGCTGGGTTCAGGGAAGGGACTGGGGACCACCTTGGTTTAAGCACCAGGCCAAAGGGGCCAGCTGGTCGAGGATTATTCTGAGACCTCTGCACTCCCAGAGGTATCTCAAGTGGGACACAAGGATTGCCTTAAAGGAGCACTGATTTCTACCAAAGAGCCTCTGTAGAACTTTACCAACCTAACTGGGTGTGGGGGGTTGTTGTCGACTCTGAAACAGAAGATCTGAAAGGAGGTGTGATGGGTTCCAAATATTGCCAGGGATTTCAAGGTGACTTGGAACCAAATAAGCACCTCAAATTCCTGTAGAGTAGACAAGAATTCCAAAGGTGTTTCCAAGTGTCTGAGCATCTGAGATATCTTCTTTTAAAGATCCATCAACCCAGAAGCTGAGCATGGGGAGACACACCTGTAATGTCAGAACTCCAGAGGCTGAGTCAGGAGGATCTCAAGTTCAAGGCCAACTTCAGACCCTGTCTCAAATAAAAACAAATAGAAGGGCTGGGGATGTAGCTCAGTAGGAGAGCACCTCTGGGTTCAATCCCCAGTACCAACACAAGAAAGAAAGAAAGGAGGGAGGGAGGGATGGAGGGAAGGAAGAGGGAAGGGAGGGAGGGAGGGAGGAAGGAAGGAAGGAAGGAAGGAAAGAATGGAATCCCTCATCTCCCTATCAGATGCATCGATGCTTCCAGGCAAAGGCACAACCAGGTATGGTAGAATGTGACTCCCCCAAGCCTGCCCAGGTTATGGCAGGCCCCACCTCAACCTCACTGGTAGGGGAAGACAAGCAGCATTTGTGGCCCAAAGCAGACTGAACAGAAGTCAGCAGGAGCCCTCTCTTAGAAGGCACAAGGGGGCTGGGAGTACCTGTCCTTCCAAACAGGTGAGACTCTAGCCTTAGGCACCTTCCAGAGGAGGCCATCTCAGACCACAAGACTGAGCTGGGTCAACAAAGCTCATCAGCAGAAGCTCTCTCTTTTATCTAAGTCTGAGTCTCGAGCCAATTTCCTCTGATTCAGTCTTCAGTGGAGACATTATCCAATGCCAGACAAAATCCACCTGCTTGTGTCTGTGAGCACCCTCCCCTCAGCTGAACTTTACTAAGAAAACTAACCAAGTTGGACTGGGGTATAGCTCAGTGGTAGAGTTCTTGCCGAGTGTATACAACGCCCTGGGTTCAGTCCTCACTACTAAAAAACAAAAAAACTAACCAAGTAAAAAAAATTCCCTCCAGGTAGTACAAAGTGACGCTGCAGCAGTTGGATTTTTGATTTTTTTGTTGTTGTTGCTGTGCTGGAAATCAAACCCAGGGCTGTTCACGTGAACTACCAACTGAACTATGTCCCCTTAGTCTATGGGACAGATTTTTAAATTATTATTTATTTAATTTTAGCAGTGCTGGGGCTTTGGGTATGCTAGGCAAGTGCTCTACCACTGATCTACACCCCCAGCCCTCTTTGGGACAGATTAAATAAAAAAGCCTAAAGCAAGAGTTGGGGTTTACCAAGACCTGCACTCTGAGAAGCCCCGGGCTCTCTACCACAAGATTCAACCTTCCCTGAGGTAGTGGATAGGGAGAGAGACACTAGGAATTCAGCTTGTACAGGATCCCTTGGGAATATATTTTGATGTTCAACAACCTCACTATGAGAAAATTTCTTCCCTCCACCTAATGGAAACCTTCCTGCAGCAAAACAAGCTGATGGGTCTTTGATCTGGCCTATGAACAAAACTTGCTGCAGCATCTGTGTTCCAAGAAACCCAGACTATTATACCTTAAATACTTTAAAAAGAATGCAAAAATCAGATGTCAGGGAAAGCTGCTCAGAGGGATTGATGTGTCTGTGGAAGAAGCAAAGCAGAGGTGACAGTGTGAAGGACAATGGACAAGTTTTTAAAAATGTAAGTGACCAGATGTCCCAGCCTCATCAACCATGCTAATGAGGCCTTCCACCAATACCTGCACTTCCGTGGTTTGAGACCTCCACCATGACAAGCCTCTAGTGACTCAAGAACATGACCCATCTGCTTTCCTGCTCAGCCTCCTTGCCCAGGCACCTGAGACTGTCACTTCTCCCTAGACCCCAGGAGAGATAACACTCCTCTGGGACTGCCACCTTCTGTCATAAAGTCCCTTGTCCATAAACAAACCTCACATGCTCATTAAACCATGCCTTAGACCTCACTGGTGGAGCATGAATATTGCCATCTGCCGTTACTTGCTGCCAGACTTCAAATTTCAATTTGAGTTCATCCGGGACGTATTGTTACATGTATTATAATGACAATGATATTAAGAATAAAATAAAAATCTGCACTAGACACTGGATAAGTACATGATATGCTCAATGCCTGGGTGGGGCTGCTCTAATAGCCACATATAAAGATGAGGAAACTTGAGTCTTAGATCTGGCCTATGGATAAAACATTTATTGAAAGTCTGGGTGGCTCCAGGGCCTGTGCTTTGACTCAAATATCTTCAGAGCCAGCGTATTCATAAACAAGATGGTTCATGGCCTGCCAGCCTCAAAGGCATAGGCCCCTCTGCTCAGATGTAAGCCTATGGGAGCTGAACCTACTGCTGTCACAACTTCCTGCTTTTCAAGAGAAGGTAGAATCTCCATTTTA